TTTTACCACAAACAATTTTTTCTATCCACTTACAAAATCACCAGTTGCCCCTGTAGAACCGATCGATTCCATCCACATCATCACATACATGCCGCAATCATATCTGTTACAAAATTTGAAAACCACACATGTCAATTATGATGAATACTGCATAAATTAAGCTTTCTATTTGTGATAACATCTCATACCCATTCAATTGCTTATTCTTCTTATGCTCCACAAATTTGAAATTTTTCAAGGGATACTTTCCTAGAGATCCACATGACTCAACCCAAATGCGTTTCTTATTATAAGAATCTAATATTTTAATCTGCATTAAAATAGAAGAAGTTATGCACCAAAAAAATTATGCATTATAATTTACATAATGTCCTTCATACATACATACATACCAATCTCTTAGCATCCTTCACTCTCTGTTTAGCTGCTTCAGTTGTAAACATACTATCATATATTGTTACAACATGATCTACCATATCCAACACCAACAGATACCAATGTGAATTATGGTAGTTTATTGTGATCATTATCTGCAACAAATTTCACACCCAATTTGACAAAATTCAACATTCTATATCCGAAAACATCATTTGCAATTGGTATGGTTTCTTACCTTCTCACAGTCGGTGAATTTCACATAGTTATCCAATATGACACCCCAGAAGGTAGAAATATTCTCAACACTTTCTTTATTGTTGGCTTCCAACGCCTGTTGCTGTAATTACGCAACAAACATTATTAATTTACCGTCTATAACACTACTTTTCAATATTTATTAATTTAACTCACCACTAAGAGGTATGGAAGGTAGCCAATCCTCCGGTGTGACTTTTGAGAATCATAGCATATGGTCCAGGCGAGCAAATCGATAACCTAACAAAATTAATTACACAATCAGAACATATTCAATAAGTTTTATTTATTTTCTACTTTCTACTTACCACACCGCCAACCCATTCCGTAGGCTTCAACGTTGCAATGTCGTATACAGTAGCGAATTGATTTCCTATTGATATTACAGAATATCTGTATGAATCATTAGGATTAATATCTTGTCATGAAATATTTAAATATCACTCACAAAACAATATATTTCACTTACCCCGATTCTAACTCGCTATTCCATAAATAATCACAAATTGCAGCTTCGATGTCATCAATTCCGGTTGGAATGTCCGCTTTTCAACCTACAATTTTGCATACAAATTTTTGTCACAACAACATAATAAAAATCAAATTAAGTATTCTTTTATTAACTTACCTTCTGCTTCTTCTTCTGGGGTGCAGGACATTCCGAATCCAAAACTGCTGCTATAACACTCTCCGGTGTATAAATGACATCGACTTCCTTCCTCCTCATTTCTTCCATCTCTTCTTCTTCCTCCTTCTTTTCTTCTTCATATTTTTCAGTTCATCGTACTTTTTTTCTACATAGCTCTTCATATCTTTATTTCACCCTTCAATTGAGCTCCTTCATCCGAGTATTTATCAACCACCCCCTTCACCCCCGTAAGTTCACTCCTCAAATCAACAACCTCCTTCACCACTCCCTCAAATTTTTCTCCCGTCACCATCTTAATATCACCCCTTAACACCGAAACTTCTTTCACCACTTCACCCCTCAACACCTCTACTTCTTTCACCACTCCATCTATTTTTCCTTCCACTACCCCCTTATGCCTCTCGAGTTTCTCTACGACTTGATCAAGTTTCTCTTCGACTCTTGATTGTCTTTGCATGATTTCAAATTGGATTTTTTGATATCAGCCAATTCAGACATCAAAATGTCGAAGTTACTCTATTTTGCTTCACGTCGTCCCACTCACCTTCATCCCCCAATACAACCATCCCTCCTTTCTTCTCCTCTGCCTCCACTGCCTCCTCTACATCCTTGCCAATAACCTTCAAAAAATTAAATTACAATATTAAGACATTGATTATATTCTTAATATTATTTAATTACATTTATTACCATTTCTTGCTTCTTCCCTCTATCCAACTTCAACTTCACCATCACTCTAACCACCTCTTCCTTCCCCCATGCACGGATGCGTGCCACTCCGGTTCTTTCATAAGTCGGTACTGCCTCACAGCCCGACCAAAAATCGAACAGTGCAACCTGCATTTATAATAAAATTTATATTTTTATATAAAACACAAAAAAGTGATTCAACTCATTTACCTCTAAGATTGCTATGCACCCTTTGAGGTATCTCTGGCTGCCCTTTTTAAAGGTGATAATTGATTCAATCAATCTCGAATGGATATATTCAGCCCAATTGAATTCACCCTTCAAGCCTTCATCGCAAATGAGCTTCATATTCCTTGTTCGTTGACGTATCACCCGTTGGACAAAGAAATATACCGACAAGGTACAATAGAACTCGGGTCTTCAGCTCATCCCCCAAGTAAGATCCACTTTTGATATCCTCTTCAACTTCAGTATATGTCACCTTATGATTCAAACCATATTTGGAGGCAAGTGCTTTCCAGTTCTTACTCCTACAGACTTCTATAACACTTTTGCCTTTGTTTTGTACCCCCAATACGGCTGCAGCAGTCGATACCCCCAGAGGGAATGAATAATCACCATACTTAGCCATACATTGACTGACGTCAAATTGTGCCATCAAGGATCGACACAATTCCCTCCGAATAGGTCGATCCCTTACTCCGATCAACGATCCAAAACCTTTCTCCCAGCACATTCAACTGACCCTTCTCCTTAAGGTGTTTAATTAATAAATTCACCCTTTTAATGTTGCATCTTGTCGACACTTCCTACATTTTTTAACAATATATAATGTTATAGTTCTTATATATTTTGTATCAACGTATTTACAAGTTTAATGAATACCTTATTTTCATGTGCTTTCCTCCGTTCTTTGTATTCTTTACTATCATTCCTTGACTGTGTGATGTAAGGTTCCTTTTCAGCATCACTCATTGAATTCCATTTGGACCTCACATCTTTTTTCACCTAATATTAAACATAAACGTTTCTTAATCATACATTAACACTAAATACTAATACTACTCAATGTCAATTTCATTTTACATACCGAACCGCTCTGTGTGCCATCTCCCTTCATCCTTTTGCATTCGGCCATACTGTTAACATTTAAAATTTGTAATCAATTTAAAGTTTATCGATACTTTAATCCAATTACCATTTCAACAATAATAACAAAAAGACATTGATACTTACTAGAAGTACATATATCCACCCTTTGGTTGCTTTCGAGTCTCGGCCTCAATTTCAAAGTCATCTGCTCCACCAACAATTTTCCAACCCATTGACTCTATTTTTCCTTCATATATCAGTTTACGCAAATCAAATTATTTGTTACATACACTTTTCAATATACAATATAGATAACTACTCTTGTGGTAAAACGGTTTTCTTCAAAAGAATTTGAATGGCCACACCAAAATGTGTCGGCACATTTATACAACCTATAATATCATTTTCTACCTATAATATTTAATAAAAGTATCGACATTTATATTTTTCCTTGAATATCTATTTCTACCTGCAATCGGTCCCAAATGCTTCCTTACTCCAAAACCCCAAACAACACATAAAAAACCCTATCGCGATTACTGTAATAATAAAAAATTAGGGTTTCGACAACATACTTTTCGATTCGACTGCAGCAACAAACAAACAAACTTCGCTTTAGAAACGCCTTCTGAAATGCAGCAACAATTACTCTTCGATTTCAAAAACTCGTCCGTTCTATCTTTTTTCAGAGGATATTTAGCTATGGCCTTATATTTTCATCGGATATGTTATTTATATTTAATCGATACAAATACAAAAGTGTCGATACTTTTATGTCAGGTGTCGATACTTTCGAAAGGATAATTACCTATTTCTTTGAAAGTGTCGATAATTTATTACACGTACTTACGAAAGTATCGACACTTTCAATATATCCGGTATCATTTTACCGGTTTTATCATTTTGATACCGGTTTTATCATATTTTTACCTGTTATATCGTTGTGGATCGATATATTTTTTTAAAGTATCGACACATTATAGGCGCTATAACTGCTTCTCTTTTAAATTCACAAAGTGTCGATCCTTATATAACGTATCGACACTTTTAAATTTACCGGTTTTATCATTTTGTTACCGGTTTTATCATATTTTTACCTGGTATATCGTTTTGGATCGATATATTTTTTTAAAAGTATCGACACTTTTTAGGATTTAAAACTGCTTTAAAGTTATGTAATTTATGTTTCAATTTATTTAATAGTGTTTCATGTTTTCCACCTACAATATTAATTTAATAATTTAATTTACACAAAATTTTATTTGATTGTTTTGATATTTATAAATATATTTAGAATTTAAATTTAACAATATTAACCAATATAATAATAAATATGTTTTCAACAGTGAAATAAGTATGGACACTTTTATAAAAATGATATATACTTTTTTGAAAGTTATGTAATTTATGTTTCAATTTTTTAATAGTGTTCATGTTTTCCACCTACAATATTAATTTAATAATTTCATTTACACAAAAATTATTTGATTGTTTTGATATTTTATAAAATATTATTTAGATTTTAAATTTAACAATATTAACTAAAGATAATAATAAATATATTTTCACAGTGAAATAAGTATGGACACTTTTATAAAAAGGATAGATAATTTACAATATAACAGGTAAAAATATGACAAAACCAGATTCATTATGACAAAACCGGTAAAATTTACTTGATATGTTAAACGTATGGACACTTTTATAAAAAGGATAGATACTTACCGATAACCAAAGTTTACCGGTTACCAAATTTTTTAATAGTTTTTCATATTTTCTACCTAAAACATTATTAGTTGTCAACATAATAGGTACCGCTAAACCGAATTTATTAAATACATTTTAATGTATCCGGTAATGCTGTATATTAGTCGTATATTAACCCGCCTTTCCTGAGACAATCCCTAAAGAAGTTAATTTAGGCAATGAATTGTCAGAGAAAGAAGCCTATCATTTATTTTCAATGGTGTATACTTGCTCAGTGGATCAATCAGGGTATAAGGTGAAGTGTAGTGTTTTACTATTACTTTAAGATTTTATTTTATTTTTTTTATTTTTAATTAAAAAAAAAAGCTTAGTACTCGGAGATTGGGAGTTACTTAAAGAATTATAATTGATGGCTCAATTGAATTTTCCTTATTTATTGTGGTCAAGGATATTGACCCCAGGATAAATTGGCGACCTAAATTGCAAATGAAATTTATTACACTAGCATCAAGCTGCACTGGACTATCATATGCTATAGACTGTTCTTTGCTTATCAGACTGATGGAATTTGTGTACTTCATTTCGATCTCTTATGCTTATTGTAGTTGGTGGAAGGTTTAGTCTTAGTTCATGAGGTAAACAAATTTTTATCTGGTATCAAAGCAATGTTAGTTGGGAGTCTAACTACGTTTGGTAATAGTGTTATTTTTTCTCCCATGTTTTAGTACATGAGTTAGAAATAAACTTTGTTTGATAATTTTTAGCCACTCACATGCCTTAGTTTGAATATGAATAAAGTGAATAAATATATTTTTTGTTTTGAATATGTATTATTTTTACTCGAGTTTTTACTTATCTTTCTAATTTCGAGTTTAGATTTGTACCAATTCTTCTTTATGCTATAACAAATTATTTTAAAACTGAAGTAATAATTAAGATTTTCCTTCTGTTAATACTTATGTAACCAGACGTAGCATAAATATTCTCTTCTTTGGTATCTTTAGATATAATCCATAATGTTTTTCAAATGAATTGCTGGACTAATGAACACTTTCTACTATGCACATGTTTATCTCATGGTAAACTGATATGAATGGTTAGGATGGTTAAGGTTAACTTCTAGGGTTTTTTAGTTAAAAACTCATATTGTTGACTAATAATTAGAATTTGTTTCTGAACTGGGTTAAGAATATGAAGAAATTGGGGATTTAGAAAATCACATAGGAGAGCTGTCCTGGTATGGTGAATAATACCTGCGAATAGTGTTGGGAACAATATTTAGCAGTTTCAAAGTTGAGTTTGGTGGTCCGCTTATTTCAGTTAGGTTAAAACCTTGTAATGGCTCAGTGCAATTCTTGTTCAGATAATGCATGAAAAGTTAACTTTTCAGCATGATTCTTAAGGTTCCATAGGCCTTTTATGCTTAGGGTGCTACATATCTGTTATACCTATGTTAATTGAAAGAACTTACATCTTATATGTTAATTTATGAAGTTATAGAATATCTTTAACTTGATGGTAAAATATCAAAATTGAATAAACATCTTGAACAATCGGGTAAAGCCTAGCAATTATTCATCTTTAGAGTAAAAATCAACAAATTTCAGATCAGATCTGAAATTTACTGAAATACCTTTTGCACATAAAATTTAGATAATCGGAAATGAAAAAGGAAACTTTTGTTTCCTAGAATCATACATGGATGCTCAGTATCAACTGACAAAGTTTATTCTAGGCTCTCCCTAAGCTTTTCAATTTTCATCATTTAGATGTGCCAAATTAAAGCTTGGGCTGTAGAATAGCCTTAAAACATGTTTGTAGATGCTTTAGAAGCTGTTACATACAAGGTGCAATTCTTGGAGCTTATAAATGCCTCATGTTAATGTATTATGATTAAATGTTATGAACCTGACCTGGAAATTACTGGTTTAGCCGACTTTTTTTTTCATTTTTCACTGAACATAGTTTATATTTTATATCCATGTGGAGTTTATTATTTTGCTTATTGTCTGATACATGCCTAAATATTATGTAGATTTAAATCCAGAAACATCTTAGTGTATATGAGTTTCATCTACCATGCAGCTTGTAAACCATCGGTGTGCCATTTGAAGTCATAATACTGTCAACAGTTATTTGATTTCTTATGTGAAACAAAAAATTATGTAATTATCATTTTATCATCTGAGTGGGTTAATATTATGCACTGACTTTAGAAAAACTTTATTTCTTTGGATAGCTTGTTTCATACCTTTTTGTCATTGAATAGAACAAATGTATTACTGAATTATCATTCAAATATAAGAAACATTGGATCCATTTAAAATATAGCTGTTAAATCAACTTAAACTTGTTATTTTCACCGGCGATGCACTTAACTTATTTTTATGCACTTCTTTGGGATGTTAATTGTTAAGAAATCTTCAATTGATGCATGATTTGATGACCTAATGTAAAGTATTAGGTTGGACCTTGTACTACATTATTTAGAATGGCCACCTTATACAACAAGAATGATTTCTGTTCTGATGTTTTTCACTTGATAAATAGTCAATGCCGCTTCTGCTGACAATAATTTTTCTCTGTCCAGGTATTTGTTCTTAAACATCTTCTTTTCTTTCCGGATGAATTGGGTAAAGTTGCAGCAAACATGCCACAGAATTTGAGTTCCAGGAGATCAGCCTTAAGTCAGTATGTTGCGTCAAATAATTTTTCTGCTTTTACTGAAGATGCAAAAACAAGGTGATTAATTTTGCCGGGTAATTGTATGATGTATTCTAAATTGCATAAGGACAAATCTTTTTAATTTATTTTTCTTTCAAAGTTTTCTAGATTATAGTTCATGAAATCAAAGGATTAAACAAGTTGAGCACTTTTAATTGCAATTTTGTCCAACATTGTAAATCCTTTTCCTGCATATTCTTGCCTTTGTATTTACTTTATTAATCATCTAATTATCTCCCACATATTTCAAAGTTCCTTCTATTGATTGCTTTCATGAATGATAGAATCAGGATTGCTAAAATTGTTATCTGTTCACGAAACTGGAAATTAGGAAAAGGTATAATGCCTGATCTCGATAGGTGAAATCAAGTGGCATGTTTGATTTCTCAATTGTAGGTCTCTTTCCTGAGGTGTATTGTTGTTTATGTGGACTGCTAGTGGTATATGTTTTGCATTATTTCTGCAATAACCATTTGGGAGGAATATTTGTTTTTTTATTCTAGTTTTTGAGCTGTTTCATAGCTCATATTTTCTTTTTCCCTGTTATCTATTTCAGCTAAAATTTTGTTTCTGAACACAGAGCCCTGGTTAAAAGCACGAGAGAGATATTGTTTTTATGTGGAAATAACAAAAGGGCTGTAATTGCAACTTTAAGTGTTGTTTCTGGCGGAATTGAAGGATCCGAAGGCAGCTCAAAGGATGTGGTTAGTGGAATTGGGTTGACCTGAACATGCTAATAATTTGCCGCTATGCCCTTTTTTGTGTTATTACTTGCTGATAATTGTTTGTGATTTTCAGTTCATCACACAAGCACTTGAAGGCCTTTCAATTGAATCAGCTTCTGATTTGCAGAAAGTTCTAAGAGTAGTCACTTTCACATCATCTACAAGCGCCTTTAAGAGGCTTGAAGCAATGATTCCCATTTTTCAAAGTCGCATGGGAGCACTGCTATTCCTTATCTCGGCATTACTTTCTCGAGGACTGGTGAGTTTGTTGGCTTTTAAATCTCCATTTTATTTTCATCTTCATCAATATTCTGGTAGTTCAGAAAGAAATTCAAGAGGAAGCATATACCGGTATGTCCAGAGTTAAGATTTTGTTTGCATGTGGATGTAACTTTATCCGTGCTTCCTTTTTTTTCGCTAGGATCGTGTTCAAGCTGATCGGGATGATCCCAGCCTACCCTTAGTAACTGCACCATTTGGCCATGCTTCTCAGGTAGTAAATTTGTTTATATCCATTGAATGTACGGGGCTTCAATATCTCGAAATTGGTAGTGCCGCCCTTGATGCATTATTCCATTGTAATTGAACTTTATACGACATTATTTTCAGGAAATTGTGAACTTATTGCTCTGTGGGCAAGCTGTTCCAAATGTATTCGACGGGATGATGGATTTAGGTGGTGGCATGTTTCTGAAGGGTATACCTACAAGGGTGGAGGTTGGATTCCTCACTCTTCTAGAATCCCTTAACTTCTGTAAGGTTGGTCAAAATCTGAAGTGCCCGAAATGGCCAATATGGGTTGTTGGAAGTGAGTCGCATTATAAGGTCCTGTTTGCTCGGGATACAACTGTTCAAGATGAGAATGAATTGGAAAAAGGGAATCACAGGTCCGGAAAGCCTTTGATGTCCAGGATCAGAGTGGAGGTGGTGGCTTTATCAGTGTGGAAGCTTTCCATCAAGTACTCAGGGAGACAAGTATCCTACTTCCATCTGACAAACTCGATAGCCTTTGAGCCTCGGGCTTCATTGTATGGAGTGAGTTCTGGCAGGTTATTTTGGATTTGGACAAGAACTTGGGAGGTCTTAAGGATTCAACTGGACAGATGGGTAGAAAGATATTTGACCTTTACCATTTCAATGGTAATGCAAAATCAGATTTGAACAGCAGTCGAGCAACAGTGGGAGGTGAGTCTCCGGTACAAAGACCCAGGCTTACGAAATTGAGGGTCTCAGCACCCCCGAGTGGACCCCGGAGGAATTCATGGCAGATGTATCAGTTCACCAATCGAGTGGGAAAGACACTCAAGTGGCTAAGCCCGAACAACCTCCGCAGCATGCACCGTTGGTGGACTGCATTAGAACTCGCTGGCCTCGTGCTGTTTGTAATTGGATTGGGGACCCTCCTAGTATAGTCTGACTGTATTCAATCACCTCCTTGCTGTCGAGGAACATGCTGGAACGAAACTTAAATGAGACAGAAAATGCGGCAACAAAGTGGTAATACCTGGCTGATTGCAAACGACAGGACACTGTTATTTTTTCTGGTTTCGTTTGTTTCAGGTTCTGTTGTGTATTTGCTGTAATCATCAACATTCGAGTTCAAATTTCATGTGTCAATTCTTATATACCGAGGCCAAAAAAGAAAAGGTTTTAGGTCAATCATTCAGGTTAGCGTTTGCTGTTAGTGGAGCAGCATTTTAGTGTGCAAGTGTTGTATTCTTTTTTTTTCACTGCAATTTATGAATTATTTGTCATTATATCTTTTTTACAATATTAAACTAAAATTGATTAGTTGATAAGTAAATATAAAACGATGTGAAGCAATGCTAAGCGATTACATATGTAACCTAAATAAAAATTTAACATCTATATAGGAGTAATCTTGACCAATAATAGCCTAGAATTTCATGTCCAAATGGTCCACGTTCCAAACTTTAACAGACAATGAAAAACAGTTGTTCCATTATCCCCTTTGTCTGAAATTGGATGACCATACAAAATTATCGATGATCTAAAAATGCACAAATGTTTCATAAATATGCTGCAATAATCTTTTTAGGAGTCAACAATACTACAGGAGCAACAGCCTAGTTTAAGAAATTTGACAAAAGGTGGTCCATTCCCAGAAAGTGTGCTAGAAACTTCCTTCTCCTAATCAAGCAGTCCGTAGAGGTGGAGAAACCAGTATGACTCCATCTCCCCTTACAAAGAGAAATGGAACTGTGCGCTTTGTAGTCTGAAATAAGGATAAAATAGAATCATCATCCAAAAACATGAAATCTCTCTTTTAACCAGTTGATTTAAACAAAAACCCTAAATTCATGTTCACTTGAAATCTCCATTTTCATAGGATAAGTTCATGTTTTTCCTTGTGAACAAATGTAACTTTTAAGCCTAATAAAACAAATGCAAGCATTCTTCATGGTTAATATGGGGTTAACCAGAATGACATCAAAGTTACTAATGACACCATTAGAGCCAACGCTTAGTAAAGCTCACCTTCTACCTCTAGTTCACATATTAGCTTTCAAAACAAATATTAATCATATTGAACGGGAACAGAGATATGATAACCTACCCGAACAATCTCCTCATAGGTTTCATCATCTATTTCAACTGTAGTAACAACCTCTTCAACATCCCCTAGAATCATATTCAAATGCTGATCATAAGCCTGCAAACCACATTAAAGAAGAACTAAGCATCAAAATGAAGAGTTACAAGCTTCTAAACATTAAGGCAAATTATAACAGAAAGTAATAAGAACATAATCACTAATTCCTATTACAGAGGGGGGGAAAACTCTGTAGAACTGAAGTGATCTGTATTCATACCATCACCTATATAGTTCAGATGGTAAATGGCTAGAAAAATATATTCCCTTGACGTCTTACCAAAAAGTTAAAGAAAACCATTTGCATTACCACAGCACATTGAAACTAAAATATATCATAACAAATGAATGGGCATTTGCTGTTATGAACCAGAGTATAGATGTTAAAAAACAACAAAATCATGTTGCAATTGCTCTGGTTAAGACCAATCTTTCATGAAAGCTGTGGACAATAAATAAACAAAGGCAACAATTTATCAGTAAAAACATATGAAAATAGTATGAGAGAAGCAAGTTCTCTTTTATATTTAATGAGACAATTAAAAGAGAGAAAAGGTAGAAGGCATAAACTTGAAAAGTACTTAAAGGGGGAGAGAGAAAAAAGAAAAAAGAAAAAAAAATGAAGTCGGAGGTCAGCATCAACAACATAACATCTCTATTCACACTGCTTTGGTAGAAAACAACTTCAAGCAGCTGAATAAAATGCCACCAAATCAGATTGACCAACAGACAACAGGCAGCAATTAAAACAAATAGATACAACAGAAAGACTAGAACAGAAAAGAACTTAGACAATTGATATAGTATATCAACATCATAAATAAGATTAAACATAAAGAAATCATCCAATAAACAGAATAACAATTTCATCTCATGCTCTCCATGAACTAGAAACGAGGATTTAGAAAATTTACTAATCACCCAAAAATCCACATCATTGCAGCACATATCAATCGGAAAGCAAGTCATGGAAATTGAGGGGGGGAAAGATACACCAAAATTTTGATTCATCCTGTTTAGCCATATTTAAGCATACCCTAATTTATTGTTATAAATTTATAATAACTTGAAGTACAAGTAGAATATCATAATCATGTTTAATATTATATATTCTTATTAATAGAATAATAAAGTGAGTATATTAAAATATGCAAGCTGGCAGTATGTTGTATGGGAGTATATTCTAAAATATATATTCTAATATATCTTCTAATTTATTTATATATTTTATTTAGAATATATTAATATTTAAATTAATATTTAATATGCAGTTGATAGCAATTCAGATATGAACATAGAAGTCGGAATATTCTCAAGGGCTAACTGATACTACCTAAATAACATATCCTAAATCAAAAAGGGGAACAAGAAGTAATGCCCAAATTAAGGAACCCTAAAATGGAATTCGAAGATTCAACATTGGAACATAAAGTAGTTGAAAAGGGAACCTAGAGTTAACGTACATGAAGCTTGCCACGGAGCTCCCGGTCAGAGCGGAGCTTGACATAAATACGTTCGTCGAGGCTGAGCCTTATCAAATCCAAAGGCTCCTTCACCGCACTCTCTTATTCGCTTGCCATTCTTTCTCTGTTTTTGCTCTTTACTTCTTCGGGTACAGTAAAGGGAAGGGTTTAGCCTTTTAGGTTGCAAGTTAAATAAGATACACAAGTTATGATATTATAGGGAAATTGTCTTGATGGTCACCAAACTTTAAGTTTATTTTATTTTAATCACGTAATTTTAAAAAATTAATTTCATCACGTAATTTTAAAAAATTAATTTCATCACGTAATATCCAGTTGTTATAATAAAATCCTAAAAGAATCCGACTCTTCTCATTTTCTCTCCTATGTTATTGTTCCTTGCCACCATAATGTTTTGGGTAAACTACAAGTTTAGTATTTAAACTATTATTTTTGTTTCATTTTTATACTTAAAACTTTTATTTTTTTACAAAATTATACTTAACGTTTACTTTTTGTTTTGTTTTGGTATCTCACCGTTAAAACTTAACGGATGTGTTGTATGTGGTACTTTTTATGGATAAATTACATCATTCATCACTCAAGTATCTTCTCACTCTTATTTTGGCAATTGATGTTTAATTTTTTTAAATTTAATTACTTAACTTTCGAACTACTCTAATTTAATCTCTCTAACTTTCAAATTTATTCTTTTATTTTAATTATACATTAATAAAATAATAAAAAAATCATGTCACAAAAATCATTAGTAAAATAAATTAGAGTGATTAAAACATGAACAATTTGAAAGTTGAGCAATTAAATTGAAAAACTTTAGACTTTAGTAACCAAAATAGGAGTGAGAAGATAATTGAGTGATGAATTATGTAATTTACATATAAAAATGTCACATATAGCAATTCGTTAAGTTTTCGATGACGGAGTACCAAAATGAAACCTAAACTAAATGTTATAAATGATTTTGAAAAATAAAAATAAAATTTAGGTAAAAAATAATAATTTTAATATTAAACGTGTAGTTTATCCTAATTTTTTACAGAATTTTTAAATTTATAAAGACCTGAGTGATATTTATTTTTAATTTATTATTTAATTTAGTTGATTTATTTTAGCCATAAAATTTAAATTAATTTGAATTTAAAAAATTACTTAACTTGACTCGATTGACATTTTTTTTATTAATTTAGGGTGATTTCAAAGTAGTATATGTTCTAAAGATTTTTAACCATTTGATAATGAAAACTCAAACATCCTTACAATCTATGGTACTCGAACCTGAACCTCTAGAGATAACAATTATTCTTTTAACCATTAAAATAACTTGGTTTATACCAATTTACACAAAATATAAAATCTCATTTCTATTATTTTTCAACTGTATCAAATTTTATCCACCCTCGAATCAAAAAAATATAATTGTATAAAAATAAAATGTAACCCCTCAGACTGATGCGGTTAACCCGATCCGATCTGGAGTGTCACATTAGGGCCACCAGAGCGACCCATTGTAAAAATAGAGAAAAATTTAAAACTTTTATTAAAACATGTAACTTATAAAATGATTTATCAGTATGCAGAAATAAAACAAATTTTCATACTCGTATATAAACAAAATATAATTACATGCCCCCTAATCACATGTATCATACTCTGCAAACAACGTCGGAAGAACTCCCTTAATGAAGTCGATAACTGCACTGGTACAATTCTTTTAACCTGCAATAGTGAGTAATAGGGTGAGCTTTGGAAAGCTCAGTAATACCGAACTACCAGATGATGTTGAAGAATGTGCAAATACATATAAACATATATTTCCTTATCGGTTCAGACATCTACAAATCTTTATGTTGAGCAGAGATTCTACTGGTATTTCAGGTAGTAACAGATAGTGAGCTTTCAGTTCAGATGGAAATATTTCGAATGTTTAGGTTCAGGAGATCAGAATAGGTTATCTAGTGTGTTCCCACAAAATCAGTGAAAAGATACATATATTTTTAAAACATATTTTTAAAATTTTAAAAAAACCATAGTAATTCCCCCATCTGTCACGAACAAAATGTATAGGTTCCCCAGAACTATACAACCCCTGCACAACAGTAAGGCTCTGAGCACAAAGCCGAGGAGCATGCATATATATTTCCTCCAACAATACCCCCAAATAAAACATTTATCAAAAACCATAATAAATTCCCCCAACCGAATACATCATAATGTGTAGGTTCCCCAGAATCATACACCCCCTGCACAACAGTAAGGCCATGAGCACAAAACCGAGGAACCTGTAAGTATTCTTCCTCCAACAATAAACCGCCCAATTAAAACATTTTTCCGTCAGTAAACGGAGATATTAGAAATCAAAACATAATTCAAATCAGAAAAGAATCCATATCATAAATCAGAACAAAATTCAGATAAGAAATCAAAACATAATTCAAATCGGAAATCAGAACATAATTCAAATCGGAAATCAGATAAAACATTCATATGATTAGGGAACACACTAGAGTTTCCAGATATTATTCAGAGA